CACTGATACTATCTTCCCCTGCCCCAGTTTCCTAAAATTATATGGAAAATTCTGTATACTCTGTTTTATATTTATTCAAGCTTGAACTCTGAGACATTTGCCTACAAAAGCACGCAAACTGTCCCTCCAAAAATAACAGATTCCTACATTTGTACAACCATTAAATACAGTAATATCTGAGGATAAAATCCAGTTATAAACATTTTAAGGAGATAGCTGCCCTTTTTTCTCCACTCAGAATACATAGCTGTGAAATTAAACAGCAGGCAAATTAAATATAAATAAATATAAATAAACAAATTAATATTAATAACAAACTACCAACAATTCATTTCCTTACAGAGATTTTGTTTCCATAGGGAAATTCCCCTTTATCAATGGTATTAGCAAATCACAGTATTTAATGAATGCCTTTTTGTCTGTGAACCTCTAAACTTACTTCAGTATTCTCTGTAAAAAAATAAATTGCCAACCCTAGTGACTGATCACTATCAGAGCAAAATTCCTTATGAAAGCATCAGTTTAATGAAATAATTAGGACTAGCCTTTGGGATTTAATGTAATTTAGGCTTTCTAAGTAATGCTAAAATATAACAAACGTGACAATATTATCGCTGTGAGCTGAATTCACATACCCCACTACTCTTTGATGCATATCACACTGCAGCGTGTATTCTAGTGCGGCCTTATCTCAGAACACCACTGAAACTCCTACTGCTATATGTATTCTGGTCTTCTGCAGTGGATCGGCCTGTTCCATTGCTTTAAGGTCCCTTTCTTGGATGTTTCCTGAACTCTCCCAACCATCCAAAATAAAATAGGCCTTCTCAAAATTAAAGATGATACCAAGTTCACACACTGCCAAAATACTTGTCAAGTAGTTCCACACAATGATGAATTATTTCCAGCCTAATTAGTTCATTGTCCTGATCCTCAATAGCACAGCAAAAATACAGACCAGAGTATCTTTTGTAAACGATCTTCAGATCTCGCCACTCACTGAAGCTGCACATTTTAGTTTTCCTTGCTAAAACAGTTTGAACAAGCTCTCCTGAGATCCTTTCCTTCTTCGTTTGACAGTGGGACATACCTCTTCTGCAGTCAAGCTCTCCCTGACGACTAAAAGGCAACACAGCCGTGGACACAGTAGCTCTGTCTGCAGCAGTGGCGGGGCACAGCCAGGGGGAGCCCCTGTCTCCGAGCTGAGGAAGAAAGCCCTATTGCTGTGCAGAAAGGCTGTATTCTTATTCCTGGGTTCCCTCTCCCTGCTTGCCAGTCGCCCCACGTTGAGCACCTTTCATTCACCATGCTTAGAGCCAGCTCAGATGGACTGAAACTGTGAGCCAAACTAAATCTCTCCTTGAAGCTGTAGTGAAGAGAAACTGAGGGAAAGTCCCAGTGAAGGGAAGGCGACTAAGACAGATTTTTGCATTAGAAAAATAGGGACATTGCTGTGAACACAACTGACCATGTGGTTTAGTCACCTTGAAACTGGTGTATGGTAGGAGTATGGCAAGGTTTGGAGATACCAACTGGCAAAGCCCTGGAATGGTATAAACCAAGACTGGTGGAAAATTCTAGTCAGAGTTCAGAAGCCCAGAATGAAGATAGAGAGTAAAGGCCAGGCTCAGGAAGGTTCCAGATGATAATGAGATCTGTACTAGAATCTGGGGACTGAAGGCCATGAGCGTTACATTTTGGCAAGGAACTTGTCTACATGTTGCCCATATGTAAGACATTGTGTGAGGCTGAATTTAAAGGTGGTGGACTAATTACTCTGATGGAGGAAGTTTTCAGGCTTTCATAGCTGCTAGGAAGTGGGGTCTAATGAGAAGAGGCAGGTCCCTTGAGGTGTAGCCTAGAAGGGTGTATTCTTATCCCTGGCTCCTTGGTTCCCTCTCTGCTTCCTGGCTCTAATGGGCTAAGCATCTTTCCTCCATCATGTCGCTCTGCCACAGTGTTTTTGCTTCAGATCCAGCCAACCATGGACTGAAACCATGGGCCAAAATCTTTAAGTTGCAGGAGTTGGACATTTTGTGCCAGCAATGGCAAAATGACTAAGACAGTCTGTACTGAATGATACCTCTGTTTTACATAATATAGTGTAGTATAACAAACAACATAGCATAAACAGTGAAAGATAGCACCAATTTGCATAGCATTTACCTGCATTCAGTATTATAAATATATAGAGATGATTTAAAGTAGGATGTGTACAGACTGTAATGCAAGTACTGTATCATGAAGGACGTGAATGTCAATGGATCTCAGCATCTGTGTGGGGGGTTCCTGGACCCAATGCCCTGAAGATATCAAGGGACAACCTTACATACAATTGCCTTCACCATAATTTTATGTGTGTGAGGAGCTTGAAAATAAGGAATAAATTTGTCTATAAAAATGCATTTACCAGATAGAGTATGGATCTCAGCATCTGTGTGGGGGGTTCCTGGACCCAATGCCCTGAAGATATCAAGGGACAACATTACATACAATTGCCTTCACCATAATTTTATGTGTGTGAGGAGCTTGAAAATAAGGAATAAAGTTTGTCTATAAAAATGCATTTACCAGATAGCTTCTAAAAGGTTAATAGAACACCAAGCATGATCTGCTTTGTGAAAAGAGAAGCCAAGCTTAGCAAGCAATTGCACCCCATGAATATTCATTATATAGTCTTAACTGATTACACCTACTTTTTGCAGGATGTGGCCAGAAACACACATACAAAACAACCCACTCCAGTTGTAGGTGCAGCCTGATTTCTTGTATTTGTGGGATCTAGCTACCATTCTCCTAACCCATTTTGACTTGATTCACCTGAAATGCTGTCCGTTAAACACAGAAAATATTTTGTTTATCCTCTGCAAATTGGACTTTGGATAAATGCGTAAAACGATGGGTATCATAAAAATGTCTTATTTACTTAAAAAAGTATGAAAAAGTTTGTCAACAAGGCAAAGTTAGAGTTATCATGAAGCCGCTTTAGGGCAGTAATGAATTCCCAGTACCTCTTTTTCAGATCAGTCAGGTCTGGACATGTGTCATACTAGCTTGAAGTTTCTAACAGAAAGGATGGTGCTATCTGGGAATTCCTGTAGTAAGAAGTAGGGTCAGAACTCCAGATTAAAATGACATTTATAAGGCCTTTTGGGGGATCTTATAAAGATGATTTGAAGCAGTGGATGTTAGCAGGAAATAGAATCCTCAGCCAAAACAAACTCTGTTTCTGTAAAGTTGATTATGGGAGACTGCCAAGCATCAATAGTTAACTGTGCGCCTTGCAGCTTTTGTACGCATGCGTTGCAGGACTGATGAATCCATTTCCTGGTTCACCTGTGTAGGGCCAGCCAACAGGAAGGAGCTGTCTTCCAGTCAGAAGCGCTGCGTCAGTGCTGCAATTACAGGCTCACCGGGGGTGAGCCACGTGTTAATCGAGTCACAGACACATGAACTGGATTTTTAAAAAGCCATCCACGGGATGTTTACACGTATAATCATAGAAGAGGGCTTTGGTTATTATACAAATCACACAGAAATTATGGTTGTAAAACGTTTAAAGAATATGAACTTAGATTCCTCAGTGTCTCTGTGAGCTGCCATAACACTTCGCACGGCCACTTCAACCCCCTCCGCCGGTCCATTTCCAAGGCCAGTATTTCTTTACAGTTCAAACCCTGGATCCAGTCATGGTCAACTTGCCTTTCCATTTCCTTGCTTACCCTTCTTAGGAGACCTGGCATTTAGATGCCAGATCGGTCCTCCGGCTTAGTAAGCCTCGTGGGCAGCCAGGGTCCATGGGTGTTTTCCAGCCTCTCAGGAAGTGGAATTAGATTATGAAGGCAGGTGACTCAGAGTGGGGACAAAGCCTGCCCAGAACATCCCCCTTGATGCCCCAGCTCCATTCCTTTAGGTAAATTATGTTATTTCATTCTTCTAATCTTATCATTGTTTAACATTTGGACACAGATCCCATTTCTCACTTTAACCTCCATGACACCCACAGGAAATCTGCTATTCTTACTTTATCAGGTAGATTTTCAGGATCCTTCTTGATGCAGAAATGGCTCTTTGTTTTGCAATTCTATCAAGAATTTGGAGTGCCGTCTAAATCTATTTATAATTAATTATAAAAACTGACATCTCAATATGATCATCAGTGCAATAAATTATTATAGAACTTTAAGAGCCAATAAATCATTCATATTAACAAAAGGTAAGATTTGTAGAAAAATTGTTTCTAGTCCCCATCTATACCCCAACACCACTGAAAGAAAATCAGTTGCAAAATAGGAGACTGTAAGAATATACAGACATTTAAAAAAGATACAAATGTAAAACAAAATGAAAAACATTCATATATTAACACATGATAAAATATCTATATATTATAATATAGTAATAGGCAAAGTATCATTTTAATCTAATTATATGCTTTATTATATGTACAAATGATCACTAATAAAATCAGTTTTGTACCTAAGTATTGTGTGTTCAATTTGTTGAAAAAGAAATTTAAAATATAAGATAAGGCTTAGGGTAAAAGAAAAGGAAGAAGGTAGAAATTACATTCATAGGGCATTTCACATTGGCTCTTTTTATTTGTGAATTCTGAGTAATATTTTCATAATATTCTTATGTTATATGTGAGAAGTTGTAGAAGTCACACCATAAATAAAATTTGCTAATACAAATGTAGTCAGTAATCAGTAATGTTACCTAAGTTTATAGACATAATGTGAAGTCTTGATTAAACAATAAATTAATTCGAATTATTCCCTTATCCCAACGGAAATGTTTAAAAAAAGTTTACTTTTGGATCAGTTGTTTTGTTCCAAATGTCACTTGTGTATGATGGTTGCTCTATTGTAATTATTAAAAGAATAGATATGAAACAATTCTATGTCAGTGCTGTGACTGTATGTAGCCTTAGACCTCAGGGAGAAAAAAAGGAAAAGAAGTTTTGTTTTTGAGAATTGTGTCTCTAAATTCAATCTTACCTGCGGACGTTGTCACAATCTCTGTGGTGTTTCTGAGGCCCATGAAGTCAAACTGATAAAGCCGCCAAGACTTCTGATCAGCTGCCTCAACTGAATTTTTTCTCCATCTATAAATCATTTCTTCTTTGGGGTAGCCATCTAGAAATATAGAACAGATATTAGTACTTGGAAATGTAGGTTCATAAATCACTTTAAAGTCAAAATTTCAATTCTGATCATTCATAGGTCTTGAAACCGTAGGCCATGTTGGTTCTCTAAAGTTTCTGTTAGAGACATAGAAACTCCACAAACAGCAGGGCAAAGGCTGCCTAATCCTGCTGCAGGTATTCACCACCAGCAAGCCTTGCTAGTGTCTGGATGGATGCAGCATGCAGGGAGCCACGGCTCCATTTATTTTACCCTAGGGTTTCCAGCTGCAGCTCCAAGAGGGAGGTGCTTATCAGCATCTCACTCCCAGACATGAGGTCCTTTTCATACAGATAAAACGGTGGCCCATACTCAGCATGCCTTCCCCCCTTCCCTAGAAGTGAGGGCAATCAGATGCCAGGCGTGATGTCCTTAATCAGGTTTTCACTCTAGGACTCTAGAAATCAGCTGGCTCTTAGTCTTTGTTGTGATTGGGATGCTGGAGGCTTGGCCCGCAGTGCAATGGTCCTCAGAGGCCATGGGAACTTGAATTCAGCTGGCTAGTGTGAGGCTGGTGGGGCACACGGGAGCAACATCCTCATGAATAGATTAATGTCCTTCTTGAGGGCCTGAGCTCATCCTTTCAGGAGGGAATTAGGTCCCATTCAGTATTCAGTATCAAGGACAGGATCAATTACCACAAGAGCAGGCTGTTACACATTGAGTGCCCGGTGCTGTTTCTCCCAGCGTACTCCTTCCATGTGTTTCCCCTTTCCCTCTCCACTTCATCACGACATAAAGAAGCATGAGGATCTTACCAGAGGCCAAACAAACGGGGAGGCCAGGCTCTTGGAGCTCCAGAACCAGAAGATACATTCGTCTTCTTGGAAGTTATTCAACTTCAGGTGTTTTGTTATAGGACCAGCCAGCTCACTACTCTCATATCACGTCCCACTTCTGATCAACAAACTCTGACCTCTTTCAGAGACCGGTTCCCATCTTGTTAATTACTTCAGGAAGGAAGATCTTGTTGCTTCTGCTGCAGGAGACCCACTGTGACCTGACTACAGTCGGGCCTCACGACGGGTGTCTCAGCCCCACCCATGCTCAGGACTCGCGAAGCCTAAGCCAGATGTTGGCCAAGGGTCTGCTACCCCGGCTGCACTCAGACTTCCCGATCCCCACTTCTGAGCCATGCTGGGACAGCACCATTCATTCTGTGCTGCGGGGCTGACCTGGGGCATCTGCCCTCTTCACACTGTCCTGTCTTCGGGCTCTGCAGCCAGGTGGGCCCCACTCACTCCCCGAGGGGGCCTGTGTTCCCGGTGTCACCAGCACAGCAGCACTGCTGATCCACATGGACAGTGGTGCCCGTCACCACCTGATGAGCTTTCTGCACCGACGCACACGTGCTTTGGCGGGCATGTTAATAAAGGGCTGAACACTGGGGAGCAGACATTGGGATTGTCTGTAAAACTCTTATTAGTCTTTCCTTTTGATTGTTCTCTCCTCTGCCTGACACTGTTGGCTTGATGATGTCACTTGACGACTGACACAGATCACAAGCCTGCAACCTGTGCTATGGCTGCCCTCTGGCCCGTGACACTGCCACCCACAAAGCAGAGACACTTTCTCCCCTCCAGGCTCACAGATGTAGCCTGAAGCTGCTTCACACGCATGTGGAACATCTGTCCCATTTGACATAATTAGAAAGGGCACTTAAGCTGCATTCCTTTTTGATTTGTTTTAAAATAATTTTACTGAGATGTAAATCCCATACAGAAAATTCTTATATTTTTAATGCACACAAATGTTTTGAATGTATTGTTACATTTAAAAAGTGAGATCATGAGAAATCAATCCAACAACTCCTAGATGATGCAAAGAAGAATAACATAAGACTGATAGGAATACATGAAGTAGCAGGAGAAAATACAAATGACTTAAAAAAGGCTGTTCGCAGAATTAATGACAGAAAACTTCCCAAACAGAGGGGAAGAATTTGACATTCAGATAACTGAGGCATATAGGACCCCAACTAGCTACAATAAAAAAAATCTACACCTAGACATATAATAATCAAGATCCCAGAAACCCAACAGAAGAACAAAATACTACAAGCAGTAAGAGAAAAGAAACAAATCACATACAAAGGAAAGCCCATCAGAATCACAGCAGACTTTTCAACACAAACCCTTGGGGCAAGGAGAGCCTGGAATGAGATATTTCAAGTACTAAAAGAGAACAACCTCCAACCTAGATTGATGTATCCAGCAAAACTCTCTTTCAAAATGGATGGGGAAATAAGACACTTCCACGACAAAGAACACCTGAGAAACTACATGAATACCAAACCAGCACTACAAGCAATTCTAAACAAGATCCTAGAAAAAGACAATGAAGGCAACAACACCATGAGGCCCAACAGACCAAATCAAGTAGGCAAGGCAAGAAATTAAAAGGAGAAGGTGAAAAAGTAAAAAGAGTCAACAAAAGGCCAATAACATGTCAATAATAAGTCAGCGCATATCAGTTATAATCAGTGATGTCAATGGCCTCAACTCACCAATCAAGAGAAACAGACTGGCAAAATGGAATAAGAAGCAAAATCCAACAGTATGTTATATACAAGAAACACACCTAGTGCAAAAAGAAGCCCATAGACTGAAAGTGAAAAGAT